AGCCTCGGACAACATTTTCGCTAAGGAAAAAGTTGTTTCAAATCACCTCCCGAACCACCCCTTTCAAGGAACTCCAACGTTTTCGGGACACCCTGTATTTCAACGATTATCGTCCATGACTTATTTACGGAAATTACAACGGCGAAACGTTCAATTTCGTTCGAGTTCGTTACTCGAGTTGCATGTCAAGTTTGATTTAATTTGGTTTAAGACCGTATCAAAGCATAGTGTTTATTCTTTCGATTGTGTTATCTTCGTGTATCGTAATTTCGCCTACCCAAGCGCACCATCAGCAAAATAAACAGTAGAACGTTTCTAGAGGACGAGACAGAGTTCCATACGTGAAACGTGGAAAATCGTGGCCACATCTAAATTAATTATATCAATTGAAACGTCATAAATATACAACAATATTTACAAATTTCATCATTTAGTTGCATTTATTTTTCATTTTACCGTATACTTCGTTCTCGATGACTGTTGCGAGTCGAAATCTATTTGTCGGATCTATTTGCTTCTTATCGCGTTGCATTTCTCTTTTCTTCTGTTTTTTTTTCTTTTTCGAAAAAGGAAAAACAAGAGCAGACGCGTTCAATATTAAAAGTACTTAATCGATATCGTTGTTTGACTACCGTTCCAAGTGATGGGGATTCTAATCCGCCAATGAACGTTAGCAAAAACAGCAGGGAGCCCGGCTGTTTTCGAAAACAATCGTTTCGTTATCCGCACACTCTTGCAACCGTTCGCGAAACGTGAAAATAACGACGGAGGGACGTGACCGAAAGATACAACATAGACTCTATACCGCGTAGAGACAGACTTGGAGAAATCGTGAGAAAAGCCTCTCTTCCGTTCCGTTCCGCGACCCCTTCTTTCTGTTTCGTTTTCTGCTTAACCCCTCGCACCGGAGGTGCCCCCACGACTTTGCGACGGCCCTGGACATAACTTTTTAACGTTTCCAACGTCGCGCCTGCCCTCTGGTGCCTAATTTTCAGCGATGAATGTTCACTATTTACAGGTTTTGTGAATAAATCGTGTATCGTGCGTATAAGGACGAATTCGTAGTCTTCGTCGCCCCCACTGAAGATCGCAGGTTGTGAACAAAAAAAAATGTCGTGGTATCGGAAAATCGTTTAGGAGAGGAAAACGGTCAGGTGCGTATTATTTGTGGCTGGTGACAGGATACGGATGGAGTTCATACGCGTTCCATTGCCTCGTAGAACCGCCGGGATCCGTGAATAGCGAGTTAAGTAGCACGAGACATGGCCCGTACAGAGATCGTAACGACCGGGGTTTCCTCTTACTCCGGATCACTTCGGCTGTCTCGAACGCTCTCGTATCTCTCATGTTCCAAATAACGCGATATCGTCGTCGCTCGGAACCTACGCGTGCCTCACCAGGATGACCATCGAGTGTAGGTTAAAAGTACGCTCAGCATCTTTTTTAGGAACGCTATATGTCCTTCGAGCGGATCCATAGACGAGCCTTTCATCTTCGTCTCTTTTCATCGTTCCCATAGTGGATTCGATCCCCGAGCAACGTTCAAAAAAGTCGTCGTCGACGCGAGAACGCGCTAGACAATTAAGCAAATCTTCTCGTCGAGTGTCTCGGATTAGGAGCTCCGACGGTCGGGTGGATCGGGATCGCTATAGATAATCTAACGAAACGGTCCGCGTTTATCTAGTTCGGAGATGGGCGACACATTCTTATCTAGATAAAAGGTTCTTACAACGATAATAGAAGATAAACAACTTTTCACGCGTTCCTCGATAAATGTTACAATGATAAGTTACACAATCGAGCAGTGTTTCGCGTCGAACCAATGAATGGCGACACATACGATCGTCCAATTGAACGAAACGCTGGCACGGTGTTTTTGTTTGTCATGTGCGATACTCGAAGGAGATTCTACCCGTCTCTGATCTAGTTCCTAAAGTTCCTTCGTCTTGTGCGTTTACTCGCGTTCGTTGTGTTCGTTGGTGGTTCGTGGTTCTCTGTTAGTCCCGACCGATGTGAACTGTTTCGATAAGGAAACGGCGTTCGCGGGTAATATCGTCGTGGGAGATCTGTCATGATCGGATTCGGTAGGTCATAGGGTTGTTCCGTAGGTGGTTGGCGTGTTGGTTCGTCCGGCATGTATAGAGTTAGGAAGGTTTGCGCGCGCGCGCGCGCGAGCGCGCTCTCGCTTACGGATAGCGAGCGATGGGTCGTACGTGCACGCTCTTTCGCCGTCGTGTGCATGTGTATGAAAGACGAAAGTTCGATGTGTAAGTCGTAGGAATAGGTGTAGGTTGGTAGGTTGCTACGAAGGTTGAGAAGAGAGGTACGCGGAGGGCTGACTGACTGGCTGGCGCTCGGACGCGGTGGCTGGCGAGTGCAGGTGACTGACTGAGAGACGCTAACCATTCAAGATACTTCACAGGACTCCTTCTCGTCCGAACGATATCTGTTCCACGCATCCGTGGGCTGACTGTTCGCCTATCCAATTCTCTTTTACGACTGTGCGCGACCGTGATTTTTCCCACGGACCGAGAATCGCGTCGTCGACCCGACTCCGAAATCACCACGAACTTTGTTGGTTATGGGAACAAGGAAATAGGAGTACGGAATTCGCAGCGCCATTTTGAAAAATTCGGCCCCGCTAAAAATTCCCTCCCTCTCCCCCGCCCTCGCGTTCATGTCGTGGATGTAATGAAACGCGTCGTCGCCACGAGCCGCTTATCCCAGTGTTCTTATTAATTGTTTAGATCAACTTGTACAGTGGTGGCCCCATGGAAGGCACGTTGGAAGAACCCCCTGTTAAGGACTCATCTGAGGCCAGTCCTGATAAGGTTCTTAAAGGTATGCTCTGCCCTTCCTTGGCAACTATTAAACCAACTCTTCCCAATCAACCTCTCCATTCTCCACTGTGTGTTCTCCCAAGTTCTTGCCTAAAGATCATACTTGTTTTGGCATTTGTTTTTATTTTTGGTTGACAATCACTCTACTGTTTCAATGTACTCTTCTTTTCATCCGACTAGACAATTTAGACGACATTAAACCAGAACACATCTTCTGTGACCGTATTTTGTATCATGTTTTTCAATTATGCATTTGTAACGAGTTAATTTGTTAACGACAAATGTTTTCTATCGCTTTGCGATAATAAAATTAACATTTCATGATCGACCTCTCAACCATTTCATGTTTATATTAGGTTGTCCCAAAAGTTTCTTCCGTGATTCCGTTTCTTGCACTCAATTATTTTATGTGGTCGTGTTTATATAAATAGACAATCTAATTTCATAGATATTCATGTTGTAAACAGTAATGGAGCAAAATGAATCGTGCATAATTCAGTAATGTAACATAAAACATAAACTATTGTGCATGTATTACTTATTAATGAAGCGAAAGAAACTTTTGGGACAACCTAATACTTTGCTCCTTTAAACTTTTCACATGGAATTGATAATAGACCCCTTCATGACATGCAATACACTAGTCCTGCATTTTTAATGTTCTCAAATAATCCTGCTTGCATAAAAACGATTTTCGTATTTTGCAGATGTTGTGATACCGAACGGTGTCAATGGAAATTATAATGACAAAGAAGAATTTGCGGATGCGGATAACGCATCCAATCTTGTGTCGGATGAAATTAACAGTGCGGCAGAAGGGGAGAGGGAGGAAAATGGCGAGGAAGATGACGAGGACGAACATAGAATGGAAGTTGAAATCGAAGGAGAAGATGTAGAATCGGAAGACAGTGAGCAGGATAGAATAGAGTCAAGTGGGAATAAAGAGGGTGATATGTCTGACTCCGAAACTGACTCTAAAACGTCTGATTCACCCGAGGGTATCAGTGAGATGAACAATTCTAGTGAAGTGTCTAAAACTGATGATAAGTGTAAAAACACGAGTTGTGAGGCTATGGAAGTCGACGAACAGAGTAACAACTCCGACGTGGAATGTCTCGATGAGCACATAACAGAAATACAATTCGATAACGACGATGTGTTCCCCTTGAAAAATTCTACGCTAAAGGATGACCATAATTTATCAGGCAGTAGTGATATACAGATACAACTTACCGACAGTAGCGATATTACCGATAATATTTTGGATTCGTCAGACGTGAAAATTTGTGAGGAGAACGGAAGCTGCGAGAGTCCGGATATCGAAGAGATAACGGACAGCGCAAAGAATGGTCACAATTCTTCATCGGAACGCACCAATAAAGATCCCACGAAGCAAAAGAAGCCAAGGAAACAAGTAGACCTTAGTAGTATTACGCCGAGAAGAAGTACTCGTAATATAAAGAGGACGAGTTATATAGAAAAAGAAGTAGAGGAAGAAGTAGAAGACGATGGTTCTGACATAGAAGAAATTAAGCCTGAAGATCCTTTGGCTGGTATCGATAGTAAAGATAAAGAGAATTCCAAACTCAAATCACCGATAAAAAATAGTAAAACTACTATCGTAGTTAACGATACTAAACGCTTAGTAGAAATTGCGGCAGGTAGTAAGTCTGTGAAAGGAGGGAAAAAAGAGCCCACCCTGGTTATTATAGATACAAATTCTATTCTTTCTGGGCGTGGTGGTGTTCCTGTGAGTAACAACAAACCTCATCATAGTGTTTCTGGTTCTAGCTCTTTTTCAGTAGTTCCCATGGGTATGACAACGCAAACGATGTATCCTAATATGAGAACGACGATTACCCCTGTACCCATGACATCAAAAACAGCACAGTTAAGTCCTAAAACCAGCAGTATGACTACGGTGACACCTCCTGCACCTCCTATATTACCTACTCTAACCGACGATATGTTCGTCGTGGAGGCACCATCTTTTATAGTACCGTACGTGTACGAAAAACCGCCTCTGAAACCATTAAAAGACTTTGTCTCAAAATTGGAGCAATGTTTAAAGGAGAAAGAGAAGGAAGAGCAGGAAGAAAGAAGCAAGCAGAATCTAGAAGAGAACAAAGGAGAAGAATGTAACGATGACTCGTCAGATTCGAGTCAAAAAAATAAAGATAAAAACGAAGAGAGCGAAGGCGAAGGAAGTTCTAAGGTAAAAAAGGACGGAGAAGATAAAGGAGGCGACAGTTCGGTAGATTTAATCGAGCCTGGACTTAGTAACGTAAGTGACAAACCCGACGTCAGGCAGGACGATAGGAATAAAGTAATGACTTACTTCGATTTACCGCTGGGAAAATTTTTCATGCAAATTGGAGTGAACCTTGTTCAAGAATACGTGCAAACTGATCTTTTACGGACTCAAAAACGTAAACAAGGCAAGGGCAGCACGTCCGCTGAAACTCAATTAGCTATAAATTCACTCATCAAGAACTTAGAATTTAGTAAAGAAAATAATGAACCATTCCACTTAGAACTGAAGAAATGTGAATTCTGTAATTTTAAAACAGAATCGACCTTAGTCATGCAGCATCATTTAGAAACTCCACATATGCGCAACTATGTCTATAAATGTAACTTCTGTCCGATCGAAGTGCGTAGTCCTCACGATATCTTATTTCATATGGAAGCAGAACACAATACTCGCGGGAGGTTGGAGCGCGGTCCAGCTTTTCATCAATGTCCGAATTGTCCGTTCGAAGATAACCAAAAAGGGAAACTTACTCGGCATATACTTGCTTGCACCAAGAAATTCAGACCGGAAAAGAATTTGGAGCCAGCCGCTGATTGGGAACCCCCGGCGAAGATTCCGAGACTAAATCGAGCAAGACCCGGACCAACTAATCCCAACGCCCTTGCCATGGCAATGAGTGGTAAAGGACCACAACCGCTTTTACCAAAATTACTTCCTGCTCCTATCACCGGTCGTGGAAGAGGACGGCCACCTATGCAACCAAGGTACTCGGAATTGAAAACGTTGCGACCGGGTGGTACGACAATGCGGCAAGGTAAACGTTTACTGTTTTGAACTGAATGAATTAAAATTTCAGATTAAAACTTTTTTTTTTGTTTTTTTTTTTTGTAAATATACGATTATAATTAATTGCATATGTTTTAGATAATGTTGCAGGAATGATGTATCGTCCAACATCTTCTGGTTTATTGGTCCCTACTTCGTACCAGTTCGGTAGTAACCAAATATTTCAGGTAATAGTTATTTCCATTTTACGTAATTCCTTCAATAAATTATCGAGAATAAGATTCGAATAAGATAATATTCTTATAGCAGAATAATTCATTTTATATCGTATAAGGTGTTCTACTCTAAACAGTTCACCGAATTATCTATTTTAGACAAATTTTCCTTTCGAAGATACTCCTTTCAGTTTTTATGATCACCGATCGTTTTACGTTTCGAAGTTAATTAGGTGGGTTGTTTCGAGCGAGACATTTTATATGTTAACTCAGTGTTGGCTAAACTTAACGATACATTAAAAGGGCAATGATAATCTTGTAAAGTCATGCCCCTGAAGTAATATATTTTACTTGTAATGTATAGCACACACATGATATGCATAGTACACACCTATACTTTCATATTTTCTTGAAGTTACATGTTGCAATTATTCTTGGTATAATGTACAATATGTAAGAAATGTTAATGAAAGGAATATTACTTTGAATGTAATAAATATTCACACAGTCACCACAGGAAATTTTAGACAACAAAATTACTAACTCAGTTATTACATTATTACAACAAATATCGTGAAAGTTTACAGTCTTCTGTTGTAGAAAACGTTATGTTCTACTTTCTTTGGTAAAAAGAGAGTACAGTAAAATCCTGATTTAACGAACTGATCGGACTTAGGGAATGTTTTCTTGTTTCTTAAGAATAACTAAAAATGATATTTATTTTATTCAGAAGTGGAATCGTACAGTTTATCATATTTCATGTTTATTTTAGTATTATTGGCGAGATATTAACGCTACCTACTGAAGAGGTGCTAAAATTGAGGTGACACAGTCGCGCAGACAGTCTTAAAGAAATTATCCAATTTTACTGCGAAGAATCGAACGGCATATAACATAAAGATTCAAATTAAATCCGATCGAGGTTTTACTGTATATTCATTTCATTTACCTACACCTTAGGTACTCCTTTTTTTTTTTATTTATCCATCGACTAGACTATACAGTAATTTCGTTCTGTACATACATAACAGCATGTCCTTTTTTTTTAATACGAATTCGTGTACGAATTTAAAATACAGGTTCACAAATTCAAGTAAACATAAAATTTAGGAATTAGTAAAAAATATATGGGTGGTGACAGGTGGTGGGTGGCTCTGGGACTGTCATGTCGGCTGTCTCGGGAGTGAGTAGCAGTAGCGGCGGCAGTTCCGGTCAACCCACACCCATTGCACTTGTACCCAACGTAATCGACTCTCTCTCTAGGTTGTCCTCGTCACAGGTAAATAAATATTGGAAACTACCAGGAAGATTAAATTGATTTTGTGATCGCATGGATGATGTGTTCCGCGGGTGTAAAAGGCTTTCATAACCGGTTTCTTAAGATTTTTCCATAATTAAAGCTACGTATAATCGCTTATAGGACTTAACAACGTTTTCAAAGTCATAGCTACATATCATTAGTGTGCGATGCAACTAGTTTCTGCAATTATTGATTTCAGCAATGTTTTTTGTCCCTGTAGTATGTTGCATTATGGAAACCTGTCCAATGTCATATCGATATAATCTTAGCGTTTATATATTTTGAAAAAAAAGAAAAATTAAATTGCACTTTCTAATAAAAGTGAAAAGATTTGCAAACGTTTGAAATTATTTTGCTATTAAAAAAGTAACTACTCGTTCATATATTTAACCCATTGTGGGTGAATAGTAACAATTTTATTTTAATTAAATGAACCGTTACATATATATATATATATATATTAAGGAAATCAATTTTTGTTAATTTATGGTGATTTTCCCGACTCGTGATCCACGAAGGGTTAAATTATGACAATCAAATGTAAGAAAATTTAAAAACAAGAAAACAAAATGTATAATTGTTGCAAAATTTTATAACAAACCGTACACAGATCACTCTAGACAAAATAATTGGAAATTTCCATTTACACTGTATACAATTTTTAGGTGGACACGTTACTTGATATAATACCAAATATTCTTTTATAAAATAATATTGGATTATTTTGTACACAATTGTCTTTAAAATAATTGATTTGCTTTATATTTTTCAGAATACAACAACCAGTCCAAAAAATCCCACAGCGAAGCTGTTGAGTCAACCAAGTATATCTATAACTCCGCTACCGCGTACGACGTCACAAACCTCTGTTCCTGGTTCTGGAACTTCATCAAAAGCAGGGGGGAAAACTACATTTGTTATATGCGAGATCTGCGACGGTTATATTAAGGTAAGAGTTATAACAACAATAACAACAATACTAAATCGCGTAAAGCTAAACATTTAAATCGACATGAACAGATAATAAACGTGCCTTATTTATTGTGCGAAGTTGAATATTCTTTTCAGGATCTAGAACAACTACGTAATCACATGCAGTGGATCCACAAAGTAAAAATACATCCAAAGATGATCTACAATAGACCTCCATTGAACTGCCAAAAATGTCAGTTTCGGTTTTTCACAGATCAGGTACGACTCTATTGTTGTATTCATAATTCTTGCTTTAACGTAATTTTTTGTTTGTTTCTTCATCGTGCGTTTTCCTTTTAGAATAGCCGCGTATAAAAACGGGACTATAATAGTATTGCGTGTATATTCTTACAGGGTCTCGAAAGACACTTACTTGGGTCCCATGGACTGGTCACATCTAGTATGCAAGAAGCAGCAAATAAAGGAAAGGATGCAGGTCGCTGTCCCGCTTGTGGCAGGGTAAGTTTATCTTTGCGTTATCTAACATACAAAATTGTACATGTTCGTACCTGAAGGTTATGACGTTTGAACAGCATGTTATTTGAGAGTTGCGGATCTTAATTTTTAGGTGTATCAATGGAAATTACTAAATCATGTCGCGCGAGATCACGGAATGACACTAAAACCTGCGCATCTATCTTATAAGTGTACAGTTTGCACTGCCACGTTTGGAATGTATAAGCAGTTTGAGAATCACGTTTACTCGGCACACAGTGTCGTAGCCAAACGAGTAATGGATAAGAAGAACACACCTTCATCTCCATCGTCCAGATCCAATGACTCCCTTCTGAAACCGTTGAAGATCAATGATGAAATTACGATTATTCCACAACCAGCAAAACCTACAACCAGGTCGGGTGCATCTCAAGGCAGAGGAAAATAGCAATGATCAGCAGAGTGATACATGTGTCTTGTCTTACTGAATTTTACGTAAATTTGTGGTACTCCATACTGGTCATTGTAGTACACAGTGACTTGACGTGCCGTGTACATGTGTATGCATATTATGCTTAAGACGCAATTACAAACACATAAACTTACAACTCTTGGCAAAAAAAAACTAGTTGATTGCGTAATAATATTCCATCAATGATTATACCAATATATTTATTTAAGAATTTTTATTGTTGTTATCGGACATACATAAAATAGACTGTAAAAATATTAAAGGGTGGCCTTCAGTCTAATTCCTTGGTTAATCCTAGAGCTGCATACTCCTGACCTACACGCCTATGAAAACCTATAAATATTAAGTGTATTTACATTTTATGCAACACTCGCAGGTCATATTGCGAAATCACTCTTACATAGCAAATTCACTATAATATAAATTCTTTTTCTAAGACAAATATATTTGAATTAATTCTATTTTGTTAATAACGCTAATACGATTGCGTAGGGCAACGAACGATGTATTGCCCTTACTCTACATATTCGATACGTTTACGCATCACGTTACAAAACAATTTCTGAACGATATACGAAGTAACAAATTGTACTAATTAACCAGAGTGCCCTAGACTGTCCCGAGATATCTTTTGGTATTGTAACATGTATCGATAGTTTCGTCTCAAAGTTTTTCTATCATGTGTACACTTCTCTCTTTTTTTCCTTTCTTTTTTTTTTTTAATTTCGCCATCGTATTTTTAAGCGACGAATGTGGGAACGTATAATTCGCTGCTTAATTTGTAAACGTTTCGTAAAGTTGCGTGTATGAAATAAGTTGTAACGTCAGAGACCTTTAAAGTTGTAAATTGTATCTATTGCTATAAGTTGAAATCTTCGATCACAAGTATTGTAATAAAACGTTCAGTTTTATTTTTGCGCTTTTATAAGAACAAAAATGTACATTAACATAGAGTATAATATAAAGGATTATATCAATAAAATAGGATGGCACACATAATGTGTATACATTTTTTCTGTTAAAAAAAAAAAGAGAAAAAAAAAGAAACGGTAAAATCTGTCATGGAGCATTGAACTTATTAGCACACATCGCGACGTATATTCATATTTCTGTATGTATATATATAATATACAGAAAAAAATATTATATATATAAATACGCAAAATTATTCTAGTATAGCGATAGCGTGATATAAGAAGAGATATTTAATTATCTTCTTGTATGCACTCTGGATTGATAATAGGCTTATATTGATATGTAGATAGTTGAAAAAAGTAACAAGTTTAATTTAATAATTTCGATTCTTTCTTGATAAGTTTTGTACGTTATTGTAGAACATAATTTTAGACGAAAAAATGCATTAAACGAAGGAAATCACATGGTGCGTTTTTGCACTATACGGCTGTATTATTTCATTCTACCCACTTGCCGCCGTCATGGCAAGTCATGTTGGTAAAACAGAGAAACATTCATAAACGTAATTACAGAAATATATAGTTTACTGTAATAATTTGTACAATATTATATGATTATTAAAATAAAGTGTACCAACATTGTATTATGGTTTTATTTCATTTAAGGAACCATTCTAGTTGTCTGAAATAGTACTGAACATTTGTAACAAGTATCTTTTTATTTTAATAAAATTTTATCTGTTAATAAAACCACTCGAAAGTTTATGTTTATGGTAAACAGATACGTTCAAAAGTAATAGTTTGGAAAATGTTCGCCTGATAAATCTTCGAACCTATCACTATCTCTCCAAATTTTTGAAATAGTTCAAAGTAAACGACCGTTATTAAATTAATTACCTATAATTTATTAAATTTTCCATTTAAACTCTTTTCTTTGTTTCGCATCTCTCTCTTCGAATAAACGAGACAGCCAAATAAGACGCATTAGTTATATCCTATTCAAATAACAATACATTTCAATTTTTGGTCCGAGTAGTGAAAGAACAAATTCGTTTCCAATGCGTGATTTTCAACAATTTTACCAAACTACTTAGCACGTTTATATTCGGAAATCAAACAATTTAATTTCCCTCGAGCAAATTAATTATACAAAATACGAAACAATAAATATATGTACGAAAATAAATTTTATTTCCGGTTCGAACTTAATGCGCACTTTAACGAAACAATCGCCGTTGCATTTCCGAACATTTGTTCCGAATTTATTCCATTATTTCTCAACGGAAATTTGTGCGCGTATGTTTTTTTTTTAAAGAAAGTTATACACGTTGCGTTTATATAATTTACTATTGTTAAATTGTAATTCTTTGTCCTGTACACATTGCGTTTGTGTGAGAAAGCACATTGCGCTTCTGAACGTATCAGAATTTGGCGGGCGAACCGGTAATCGCATCCAATTACATCCACGAGACGCCGAACGAAAAATCCTCATTGTGTGTTTTCGCTTCGAAGCTGTTATTAGAGTGAATGTTAATAGAATAATGGATGTCGATTTGCCGTATTCTGTCGAATACGCGAAGAGTTCACGGTCTTTGTGTCAAAATTGCAGGAAATCAATCGAGAAGGATGTGCTGAGGTTGGCCGTTGTTGTACAGGTATGTATCATACGACGTGCAAAAATCTGAATGTTTTACGAAGTTGTAATACGTCATTATTGACACCGATGAAGGACTTTTAACACGAAACAATCTTTCTTCGACCAATATTTAATACCTTCGATGCTATGCGACATATTAGTAATTGACTATATGTATTTTATGAATTTTAACCCTTTGCATTCGAGAGGTGACTCTCAGTCACCATTAGGTTTCATGCAGCAAATCTACAATACCCAAAGTTTTCAGGTTCAATTTCTTTGGAGCTGGACGTATAAATAAAATGATTGTTGGTGAGGTAAAGGTGACCTCGTTCTAAAATCACGATAGCTTAGAACTCAAAGCAATAGAATGTTAAGAAACATCTCGAGTTGCTAGAAAAAAAAGACTCGAGTGCAAAGAGTTAATAGCAAAGTTAATTTGTAGTTTACTTATGAAGATTTGTTCTTGTATATCGTTGTTTTACCATCTTTAACTGCAATGTAAATGCACTTTTGTATCTTTCTAAATAGAAAAATTGAACTTTCAGAGTCCTGTCCACGATGGAAAGATGCCCAAGTGGTATCACGTCTCTTGTTTTTTCTTGAAACAGAGGCCAAAGACTACCGCGGACATTGCAAATTTTGATAACATACGTTGGGACGACCAGAAGGATATTGAGAAAAAAATAGGTTTGTTTGTTGCAACGTTATATATATTATTTAATACTGTACACAATTTTCATAAAGAAGATGTTCTTTTACAGAGGAAGCAAGCAAGCTTCCAGTACCTGCGAGCGGAAGAGGGAAGAAACGTGCCAGTGGCAGCGTAAAGAATAACCTTCTGAAAGATTTCACGGTTCAATACGCAAAATCTAACAAATCGGTCTGCATAGCGTGCGAAGAGAAAATAGTGAAAGAGGAGATTAGAGTATCGAAGAAAGATTTCGAAAGCGAGAAAGGAAAAAGATTTGGTGGTATCGACAGATGGTATCATCTCGAATGCTTCGTCAAAGTAAGGGATGAAATACAATTTTACGAAAGTGGCGATTTACTGCCTGGTATAGAAGGTCTTTCCAAAGATGATCAGAAGAAAGTTAAAAATTCGTTGCCGAAAATTAAATCCGACGGTCCTCCGGCGGTTAAAAAAATTAAAGACGAGCCAGAGGATGCGGAGGAAGAGACAGAAATGAAAAAGCAAAATGACGAACTATTTAAAACTAGGGACATCCTGTCTCCCATAAAAAAGAACGATCTTATTGCTATATTAGAGAAAAACGAGCAGCAAATACCGGAAGGAGTATCGGCTATACTGGATCGCTTATCCGATGTAATTTGCTTCGGAGCTTTAAAGCCATGTCCAAAATGCAGCGGGCAGCTCGTGTATACTTCAGGGGTTGGATATAAATGTACCGGGGACTTGACAGAATGGACTAAATGCGAATACACGACTCAAGACCCTAAAAGAAAAAAGGTTTCGATACCGTCGGATTTGAAAGAGTCATACCCAGATATCAAACTCCTAAAGACCAAAGTCAAAAGGAGGATCATCAAGGTCACCGCGCCATCGACGTCTAGCCTAGTTAAAAAAGAAGACGAAGTCGACTCTGGACCTAAAATCGAAGGAAAATCAAAGCCCTTGAAGCATATGGAATTCGCTATTATAGGCCGTACAAAGAAAGATAAAGAGACTTTGAAAAGAAACATATTGCTTCTGGGAGGAGACGTAAATGCGAGAATTCACGAAAACTTGGCAGCGGTTATATCCACTCAAAATGAAATAGACAAGATGAGCAAGAAAATGGAACAAGCTAAAGATCTTAATATTCAAGTAATTACCGAAGATTTCATCGACGAAGCGAAAGATTATACGACGTCCGCTGTTCCGCTCATTGCGAAAAAGACGATTTCAAGTTGGGGCGGCGATTTATCCGACAGAATTAAGTCCGTGGCAGAGAAATCCGTCTCGAAAAGTAAAGGTAAAAGTATATTCGAGAAGTCGGGGTCCGGTAAAATGAAATTGAAATTAAAGGGCGGCGGAACGGTCGATCCAGACAGCGGCGTGGAAGATATTGCGCACGTATACCAAAGCGGTAACACCAAATACACCGTTACATTGGCACTCGCCGACATACAAACTAAAAAGAACAGTTTCTACAAGTTGCAGATTTTGAAGCACGACAAACAGAACACGTTCTGGTTGTTCAGAAGCTGGGGTAGAATAGGAACAACAATTGGTGGTACAAAACTGGATAAGTTAGCGTTAGAAGACTGTATAGAACAGTTTGAGCATCTTTACGAAGAAAAGTCTGGGAATAGATGGAGTCAGAGAGAACATTTTGTTAAAGTGCCTCATAAAATGTATCCGATGGACGTCGATGTCGAAGACGAAGTCTCGACTCAATTGAACTCTGACATTAAAAGCAATTTGGAGCAGCCGGTGCAAGATTTGATGAAATTGATATTCGACGAAGGAAACATGAAGAAGGTAATGGCAGAGTTCGAAATCGACACGGATAAAATGCCCCTTGGGAAATTATCGAAGAAACAAATACAGAAAGCGTACGCGGTGTTGACGGATCTCCAGACGTTATTGAAGAACGAAAAGGTCGAGCGAATGATGTTGGTTGACGCATCTAATAAATTTTACAGCTTGATACCTCACAGCTTCGGTGTAGCTGATCCAAAGATCTTGGATACGGTCGAAGAGATTCACGCCAAGTGCGAAATGTTGGATGCGTTACTCGAGATGGAGATCGCATACTCTCTTTTACATTCCAAAACTGACCAATCGAAGAACCCGCTTGACGCTCATTATGAACAACTTAAGACGGATATCAAAGTATTGAGCAAAGATAGCAAAGAATACACGGTCATTCAACAATACGTGAAGAATACTCACGCGCAAACTCATACGCAATACGAACTCGAAATCGAAGATGTATTTGTTGTTAATAGACAAGGGGAAGATACTAGATACAAGCCATTCAAGAAATTGAATAATAAGAAGTTACTGTGGCACGGTTCTAGAACCACCAATTTCGCTGGTATAATTTCTCAGGGATTAAGAATAGCTCCACCGGAAGCACCTGTTACGGGTTACATGTTCGGTAAAGGTATATACTTCGCGGATATGGTCTCGAAATCCGCCAACTATTGTTGTACAAACAGCGAAAGTCCTACCGGATTATTGTTACTTTGCGAAGTAGCGTTGGGTAACATGTACGAGAGGTACCAAGCAGATTACATCGAGAAATTGCCGAGCGGCAAACATTCGACGCTTGGTCGCGGACAAACGGAACCCGATCCTGAGTGCGTTTATAAAATGGAAGATAACGTTGAAGTTCCTTATGGTCCACCTGTACGTGCCAAACTACCAAAGAAGTCGACTTTATTGTATAATGAATATATCGTGTACGACGTTGCTCAGGTAAAGGCGCGGTACTTGTTGAAAATGAAATTCAGGTACAAAACGTAATGTTTTTTAAGCAACCGAGCTTGTTAACGATGTTACAACATTGATTTCGTGCGTTATGCCCAATAAAACGCGTCTTCGTATATTAAATATTTAAAATATATTTACGATACTACCTCCTATATGAATCTGATAAGAATATTGATAGTTTCCATAAATACAGTATATGTATTAAGTTTTTTTTTTTATATGCGTTCAAAAAATAAATTTATTCATACTATCGAGATGTTTTTACTCGTCGTTCCTAAATTTAGAGGAAATCGATTGGAAGAAAATAATTTGCACTGTTTATTTGGTCGATATATATTTATTTTTTTCATTCCACAAAATTAGTACTCGAAATGGAAATCGAAATAAGATTGGTCGAATGTATTAATACGAACATAACCGTCCTCACCACCCGTCGATATGCTACGTCCATTGGGATGGAAAGCAAGAGAGTTAATCGGGCCAAAATGCCCTTTCAAACGCGCGAATTCTTCTTCGAATACTAAATGGAAAAATCGAGAATCGAACTTTCCTTGGCGAGTGGACGT